TTTCTTACCACATGTCCACATTTTTAAAATGTATTTGTTTGCTTATTTCATTAATGAAGGAACCAGCAGGAAGGCAAGAGCAAAGGATTAAGGAACAGAGATTTATGTAGCCAGTTGGAAAGAAATGCCAAAATAAGTTTACCAAGTTAGATACAAGATTGATTAACTTTCAACAAGACAATAAAGTCATATTATTTTTGAGGTTAGCTTCTCTACCAGGCTGTAACACCCTAACAAGCTATAAATTCTAAAAGGTTATAAATCGTCTGCACCTTTATATTTGTTGATCAAAAATAGTCACCCAAGAGTGTCAGATGAGGATGGCAGTAGGCTGAATGGGGGCTCCCCAGAAGACATGTTCACATCTTAACCTCTGGGACCCATGATGATCAATCTCGCTTATGTTTTTGGAGATTCCCTCCCCCTCCCTGTCTTGATTGTCTGGATTAGAAAAAGGTCCGTTACCCACCCCCCAAAACCAGGGCTTGCTGGCACAGAACTCTGCTACTCCAGGCACAGGCAGAAAGACAAATCCCGCTCAATCTCCTCTAAACCCTCCTTAGCCTCTGGACTGGTCGGGAGACCTTGACTGAGAACACAGAGCTTCCTTCTGGGAGTTGGGGAGAGAAATGCCTTTAATTCATTCACTCATATATTCCCAGCAGCATTATTTGCAACAAATATTTACTGATTATTTATGGAGCACCTGTTCTTTGCAGGAGATACCAGGGATATGGCAGGGAATACATCAAGGAGGAAAAAACATGAATTAATGTTCCAATAGATTAACCTTCCACATTCATTAAAGCAAAATACAGTCTGACTATCGTTTATGCTCAAAAGTTTTCCTAATAATTACTTCATTATTATTTTCAGTCCACAGTCGTCTTGAAGGCTTCTTGGCTGACTCCCTCAACCATGCATGAACCTCCAAGGGACAGCTTTTCTCCATTTTGCATCTTCTATGATGTTCAGTTGAGCACAGCCTCCTGTGAGAGGCACTATAGGGCAGTGGTTATGAGCCCGGCCCCAAAGCACCAGCCCTACCACTTACTAGCTGAGAGACTTGGGGCAAGTTAATTGATCTCTCTGTGCTTCAATGTCATGGAGTTTATGGTAATACCTACCTCAGGTCGTTGAAAAGGCATGAATTATAGTAAGTAAAGGGCTTGGAGCAACATCTGGTATGTAGTGAGCCCTGGTTTTACTCCTGTGTAATCATAAAAGGTCGGGGGGAGGGGTTCCTCTTTAGGACCAGTGATGGTGGAGAAAGACTGAGAAACAGCTGAGCAGCATAGATGGTAAGTGCTGGGTGATGAGCCATGTTTTGCTATAGAACAGTGATTTTCAAACATGACTGCTTTTCAAAATCGCCACAGGAGCTTTTCAAACATTTAATGCCCGGGTACCCCAGCTTCACAGATTATTTCATTGGTCTGGGTTGGGACCCAGGCCTGTTCAAGTAATTCCTGTAGAAGCGGAGGTTGAATATCCCTGCATAACAGCAATCTGCCACATCGGCTAAGGAGCCACCCTGCCCCGCAGTGAAAGGGGCAGGGAGACTTCGCTGCAAGCCTCTCCCCTCCTCCTCCCCAAGGCCTGGCCTCAGCGTCCTCGGGCATACATCTCTTGTCAGGCCCTGGGCTCTGTTTGAGAAGTTACCACACAAAAACCCTACCCATGTGGATCCCACAGCAGAGCAAGATAGACAAGAAAACAAGCAATTAGGTGGCGAAAAATCAGAAACATGGGGATAATTCTCATGGGGAGAATTCTGATCAAAGTACAGTATATACTTACTAGGAAATCTTGAGGAAAGACTGAGGTAGAGCTACATGAATGAAGTGTGGAGACTGCAGGATACATTGTTGAGTAGAAAAAAGTAAGCCACAGAATAGCATACCAGTTGTGTTTAAAAAGAATTTTTGAAACACATTGCAATATTCTATCTACGGGTGTGCAAATATATGTTACTTCAAAGAAAAAAGGTCTAGCATTACACTTTCTTCATGATTAATTTTTTTCAAAAAGAATGTATTCATTGTGGAATTAAAAAGTAATAATTTTCTTTTAATTTCAGCAAACCCCTTATGGGGGAATCTTCTGGAAATATCTGCATTTAGCCAAGTTCTGTATCACATTACCTGTTAATTGTGAAAAAGCAGTTGGTGTTACCAGACGAGATTTTATCTAAGTGATTTTAATATTTAGCAGAGAGCAGCGTCCTGAGGACACAGGACATGAGGCAGGTGTGCGCCAAAAGAGGGGAGGCCAAGGAAAGGGAATTCAGCAGGATGCCCTGCTGTGTTTCTAAGGAGAAAGACCTGGCAGCTGCCGTCCATCTCTGCAGCTTTCACAGTTTCACGTGAGGCTGGTCCTCCTAACAAGCTGAAAGCTCAGACAGCTTCTATGCCCAGCCCGCTAACGGAGATTCTCCTTCCTAGCTGCATATTAGCATCACATGGGGAGACTTAACTAAAATAGCAACGCCTAGAACGAAGACCAATGAGAAGTAAGATCTTTGGGAGGTTGAGCCTAGGCGTTGGTTTTAATAGGACCAGAGCTGAGCCCCACTGTTCCGGGACTCGTACACGTTTTGGCGTCTTTCCCGTTTGGGCAACGTCATGCTTGCAAAGTAGTACAAAAATGACATCAGTTGCAGGTTCTTAAACTCTAGGGGACTATGGGAAAAGGAAAAATATTTGCATTTTTGTATTACGTGATTCCAAAACTATAACACCACATGTTTGGTTTATTTCAGGCTCGACTGACCAAAGAACAGCGTTGGGGAAGCGCTTTGCTTTCCAGAAACCACTCCTTAGAAGAGGAATTTGAAAGGGCAAAAGCAGCAGTGGAGGTAACTTGTTTGTTTTTGTGTTTCATGTTTCTGAGAGTGGAATTCAGAAAAACTCAGACTTCAGCAGGATACTGTGAAATGGGTCTTGCTTTTTAGACATGAAATAACCGTAACTATGATTGTTAGAATGAAACCTGTTACTAGAAAACTTTTGACTTCCCACAGGAGTGACTAATAGGTGTTACCTTTTATGCCAATTCTGTGGTAGCTGAGCAGCGGCTGTCTGGAGTCTTGGGTCAGAAAGAACTCTGAGCCTTGTCTGGGTTCCGTCATGAACCTGTGCTCTGTATTTACTGTGCTTCTGTGAGGCCAAGGTTCATGCCTGATGTTTTTATCTCTGTGGCATCTAGCACAATGTCTGAAATCTAGAAGGTCTTGATGCGCCTGAAGTATTATACATTTTCCTGAGTGGGTGGGGAAAACGGCAGGGCTGAGAAAGTCTAAGCAATGGATAGCTCATCTCAACTTGAGCCATAATTTTTTACTGTTAGGAGTGTCCAAAACAATAACAATGTTGATAAGTCAAATGAAATACTTAATTTGAATATTAACGTCCTTATTTAGCCTTCTACAGAGAGAGAGAAAGAAAGAAAGGAAAAAGGGAAGCCAAAAAAACAGCATCCTTTGCTGTTTGTATCCCTTTGCTTCCTGGTTAGAATCACAGAATGCGTCACAGACGCCCTCTGATTCTCACCGGAGCTTTGCTAGTTTGCTGTTTGAGAGTGGAGCTTTTCCCCAAACCCAAGTATGAACTTGTCGGAACCTCCATTTCTATTACTGATATGAAATCTTGAAAATTGAAAGTATTTCTGTAATAGGGTTCATTTATGTGTCTGAAGACTAGAATTTGGATGAATTATTGTACTGTGGGCAATCTTTCAGTAACTCCATACTTGAAGTGCAATTAAATCATATTTGCAATTAAAAGTATTCTTTATATTCTAGGAAATAACTCCAGCCAAATTTCTTATCATTCAGAAACCCAATAACACTTTTATCTCATCACAATGCAACCCACCCAAATTTCTTCTAATTTTAACTTTTTGTTTGTTTAAAAAATAGTTAATGCACATTTAGGGTTCTTGAATGTGATCAACTGATTTGATTGAGACCAGCTGAGTTCAAATTATTCAACTGCATGGAGCCTGCAGCTCAGTTTATCTTTAAAGTGTAGTTTTTCCAGACTTAAGAGCAAATTTAAATGTATCTTTTGAACTCCTACGGTGCATACACACTGAATTAGCACTAAAAAGAAGAGTATTTAGAACTATAGGATCTTAGGGCAGTAAAGACTTTAGAATTTATCTGGTCCCATTTATAATGAAGAGACAGTGGGTTCACACTCAAAAGACAATTACAAAGAAATAAACAACAAGGGAAATTTTCCTTCTATCTATCCGTATATATTCATAAAATCACTTAATCTTAGTTCTGGTAGAGACCTTAGAAGCCATCTGTCTCCACCAGATACACAAAACAATTTTTTTTTCTTTTCAAACATAATTGACAAGTTATTTATTCAAACACACCTGTTTCTACTTGAACACTTCCAATTAGGGGCAACTCACTTTTCAAGAAAACCTATTTCGGTTTTGGACAATCTTAACTATTAAAAAGCTCTTCCCTGAAATTGGCCCCCTAGCCACTACCAGCGTTGCTTATCCCTGGCTTCACCCTCCCAGAACAAGGCAGAATGAGTTGAATCTCTTTACATGACACCCATCTCACCCCAGAAAGCCTTTTTTTCTCCTGGCTTCTCCTTGTCTCTCCTGGGAGTTAGGAGACCTGAGTTGTTATTCCAACCTGTCACTAATAACTAAAGAACATCTTATTAACCAACATGAGTCTCATTTTCCACACCTCTATGGTCCCCTCCAGCTACAAAATCCTAAAAGGCTATACGTTTTTTCAGGCAGTCATTCAGCAAACATTACTGGCTGTCTACACGTGCTGGCTGCTGAACTCCGTACTAGAAATAAAGAAATGAGCCAGCTTTGAGTAGCTGTCTAACAATGGCCTGGACCAGATGACCAACTGGACAAATCACTTGCTCCCTCTACTAGTTTCTTCATGCTAAGATGAGGGGCTTGGATTTCTTATATACTAAAAATGCTATAAGTTTATAGCTTCGGGTAAAGTGAATAATAAGTAAGAATTTTCAGTAGATAGAAACTGGTAAGCAAATTTGCTCAACTAGAAGCCCAGAACTGAGTAGCTTCCTTAAGGAATGAGGAAGGTTGATGCTGACCAGAAGGTGTGAACAGTGTGGAGAAAAAAGGCACAAGGTTGGGGCGAGACTGTATTTCACTAGGCTCATGATAAATCAGACATACAAAACTGCACACATCTGTGAACTACCTACTTACTTCCCAACATTATTGTTACCCAGGATATAATCAAAGTCATAGTAGAAGACATAATAAAGTGCTTCAAAGAGTCTTGGAAATATACCTGCCCCTTGACCCAGACACCTCTTAGAATTTATCCTAGAGAAATAACCATGAAAGTTTGCAATATTTTATCTGTAGAATTTTTTTTAATAGTGAAAATTTGGAAATAGCCCAAGTGTCCCATAACAGAGAATTAACTAAATTACTATCTCTATAGTAAAATGCTATGTAACCATTAAAAACTACATAGAAAAATATTTAAGATCATGTAAAAATATCTAGTGATAATTGAAATAGTAATTTATATGCTGACAGTTTTACAATGTGATCCCAACTTCATAAAATGTTAATAGCATAATACCTAACATGTTTGAGTCCACCCTGTGTGCCAGGCACTACCTCAGGAACATTGCGTGGATTCTCATTTAATCCTCACAGCAGTCCTATGACCAAGATATTATTACTGTTCTCATTCTGCAGATGAGAAAACAGGCTTACGAAATATTGTGTACAGTTATGTGGCATTTTATAAGCGATTAAGATAGACTGAGAAATGAACAACCCTCATTTAGCAAGTTACAAGCCATGATTTTTCACCCAGACTGAGAGCCCAGATTCTAAATCACTGCACTATAGAAGCATAAAGAGAGTCTGTGCCCAAATGTTAACAGTAGTTATCCCTGAGTGGCTGGATTTAGAGTGATTTTATTTCTTCCATTAGCTTATCTGCATTTTCCAAATGTTCCGTCATAAACACGTATTATGTTGGTAATCAAGGGAAAAGTGGTGAGTTACAGACACTGTAGTGGAATCTAAGATTCTCAAAAGAACTGAAAGTGTCACATTTTTCATCTGAAGACCAATAAAGAATGGCAGTGCAGATTGGCTTCATCAGAGACTGTTCTAAATGCTAGTAAGACCCAGATGAAAACCATGCCTGGAGCAAGCTGAATTTTTCCAGACTCTCCACTTTTATATCCTCTGATTCCAGTTTTCCTTCTATTCCACATTCTATCCCATTCTTAAACCCTGATTTTTTTCGGTCATCATTCTGTCTCACGACCTGGCACCTGATCCCCTTTCCAGCTCCTCTGCTCCTCGTCCCCACATGAGCCCCGGGGGCACTGCCGTGCTCTGTTCATCCTGCACAGCAGCCTCACTGCCCGCTGTCCCCATGCTGGCTTTCCGCTGCGGGGCACACTCTTCCCCTAGATCCTCCTGTGGCAGGTTTCTTCCTGTCATTCAAGTTCTAGCCTGTGTGTCAGAGCCTCAGACACTCAGAGCCGAACCTGACCACCAGTTGCTATCACAGCACCCAGAGTTTTGTTTTCCCTCCTTATATTTATCACTTTGTCTTTTCTTATTTGTTTTCATTTATCTGTTTGTTGTCTGGCTCTCTATTCTCAAATGTAACCTCAGTGAGAAAAGGGATCTTGTCTCTTATTTAACATTGTACCCCAAGATCTAGAACAATGCCTGGTACTTAGTAACTATTGAATAAATATTTTTCAAATTAACAGATAATTGTTAATTGCCTAATGTGAACAACACTTCTATCTATTGTTTCCTATAAAGGGCCATATTGCCTTCTGATGTAATTTAGTGTTTGCATTTTCACAGCTGATGTAAACAATTTCATCTGTGGCGTACAGGTTTCTGCCAGGGACTGTGCTGAAGTGTCTGTGGCTGGTCTTGGTCTCAGTGTTGGTCAGTGAGATGCATTTATAACAATGTGGCTAACACCAGCGCATCGTGCCATGAAGTAACGTTAGGCATGTTTTATATTTTGCATGGAGCAAACTAGTCAATATTTATACTACATAATACCCGACAATATGCAGTTCAACTAACATTGAGCTCAAATGCCCTAAAATACAATCTTTTCTGCTAGAGGGAAGGCAACGAGCACCATGTGCACACTGATTGCGTGTCTTCAGTGACCTGGAAACCTGTTCAGGTGCACAGGCTAACATTGTTCAAGTGCAAGTTGAACGGTTAGATCTAGCAAGGCCTTGTATGGGTGAACCTTTTTGCCTCCATACCTTACATTTTATTGAAAAATCACTGAAAATTCATCTCAGCTTAAAGTATTGTAAATTTTAGGACAAAGAGCCAAATATTTCTATTTTGGGGCTTTAAAAAAAAAGCCTCTTTCCTGGAGGGACTTCCTCCATGCCTCCTCCTGGATTTTCTTCCTAGCCCACAGCCTAAATGCACCATCAGCTACAATGAGTTCCCTGGGAAAGATGCACAGGGAGGTGCAGAAGAGAGAAGCTGGGAGAAGCCCCAGAGGCTCAGTAAGGCCTAGAGAGAACTATGCTGCATTTGCAGAGGCGAGCGGTCACGTGGGCAGTCAGCACACCCACACCCACACATCAGGAAGACCTCTCATCACTGTTAGGGAGAGAGCCAGGTAGCATCTGATACTGTGTTTTTTTTCTGTTTTGTTTTCGGGTTTTTTTTTTTTTATTAAAGGATATTACAAGATACTGAACATAGTTCCCTGTGCTATACAGAAGAAACTTTTTAATCTATTTATATATATATATTGGCTAACATTTGTAAATTTCAAACTACCAAATATTCCCCACCCCCTTTCCCCAGTAACCATAAGATTGTTTACTCTGTCTGTGAGTCTGTTTCTGGTACTGTGTTTAGCTAGTCGGCCTCTCGAGGTGCCTCAGCCTTCAGAATAAACTGTATGTAGCCACAGACTAGTCAGACATGTTTAAGCTCTTTCTGTGGGCCATGCGCTCGGCGAGGGACTAGGAATAGAAAATGAGTAAGACAGCTTTGCCCTTAAAGATCGGGGAGAATGGCAGGTATTTGCAGCTCAGGAGATCACCACGTGCAGCTTATCCCACGGTGTCATTATGTTTTTACACGTCCATCTCCT